TCCATTGTTTAAAGTTACTATTAACTGGGAAGCATCAGAAGTAACAGAGCTGGTGAAACATTGTGGTTGTCTAGCAAGAGAGTTCCTCTATTCCCAGGAGCTATGTGTCTGAGATCAAGGTCAAAGCTGATAAGACTCTTCTGCAGAGTCTCCACATGCAGGGCATTACCACAGCAGCTAGTCATCCTGCACTGTTGCACAGGAACATTCACAGGCACCAGGCTTGCTACAGTCCTGATATCATTAGAGACCCCAATCTCAGACACTGCTCTCCCTTTCTCTGTCACCATTCTCCACAGTATTTATAAGAACATAAAAATATTCAGTACCAAATAGGATACATACAGTAAATTCACAACATCTAATATCCAAAGATTATTAGGCATGTATAGAGATAGGAAGCTGGGCATGGTGGTGCATGCCTATAATCTCAGTGGCTGGGGAGGCTGATGCAGGAGGATTGCAAGTTCAAAGCCAGTCTCAGCAATTTAGCAAGGTCCTAATCAACTTAGTAAGACCATGTTTCAAAATAAAACATAAAAAGGGCTGGGGATGTTGCTCAGTGGCAAGCACATCCTGGGTTCCTGTACCCATCAATCTTACTGTGGGAGTACAGCTCACTAATGCTTTATTTATTTTTCCTTCTTTTTGAGTATCATTTTGGATAGTTTAATGCCTCCAAGTTCACCATTTTTTTCCTTCTGCAATGTCTAATCTGTTGTTAAATCACATCCAATGTATATGATATTATAGTTTTCATCACTAGAAGTTTGATTCCAGTTTCTTTTCTACTTCAAGTGGCCCAATGTAAATTAATTGAATTAATTAATTGGAGTTCTTGAGGTGAGGGGAAGGGGAGAATGAGAAAATAATATTTGAACAAGTAATAGCTAAAACTTTTCAAATTTGATGAAAACAATATCTCATAGAGCCAATAAGATGAATGAACCCCAAGCACAAGACACATGAAAAAAAACTACATAAGGACATACTGTAGTCAAATTGTTCAAAACCAATGAAAAGAGGAACTCTTAAAAGCAGCCAKGCAAGGTGGTGCATACCTGCAATCCCAGCAATTCAGGAGGCTTAGGCAAAAGAACTGCAAGTTTGGAGCTGGGGCTGGGACTCAGCGGAAGCACACTTGCCTGMTATGTGTGAGGCACTGGGTTGGATTCTCAGCACTAAATATAAAAAAAAGTAAAATAAAGGTATAATAACTACAAAAAGTATTTAATAAAAAAAGAATTGCAAGTTTTAGGCTAGCCTCAGCAACTTAGAGAGACCCTATCTCAAAACTTAAAAAAAAAAAAATTTAAGGACTGGGTACGTAGCTCAGTGGTAGAGAATCCCTGGGTTCAACCCCTAGTACAAAGAAAGAAAGGAAGGAAGGAAGGAGGCAGCCAGAGAAAAATTTTATGTTCCATAGAGAGAAATAAGACGCAGATTTCTGTTGGAAGTGGTACTACAAGCAAGAAGACAACATACTGAAGAAAAAGAAACTGTCAATCTGGAATCCTGAACATTCACTAAGATATACCATGATCTGGTTGTAAAACATGTCTCAATGAATTGAAAAACATTCAAGTCTTACACAGTATGTTCTCTGACCACATAAATATAAACAGTAAAATAAAGCACTAAGCCTCATGTTACTCAGTAGGAAATTGACAGCTGAAAGAAAGATCCCTAGAAAATTCCTTAATATTTGGGAACTATATGGCATATCTCTGATTTTATTATAATCTTGAAAAACAAGGTCCTCGGGTCTAACCTAAGGCAAAAAATATACACTGAGTAACTGTCATAGAAGAAAGAAAAACTTGATTTTCCAGTATAGAGTGCACACGGTTGATATTCATGAAGGAGTTAAGTTTAGAGTTAAGATACAGCAGTTCTTTGAGGCTAACAACCTATCATTAGGGGGATTTGATGTGGATCCATTCCTGTCATTTCCACTTTCTCAGTCACCTGATTCCATGGGGGCAAAGACTCTTGGGAGAGACTAACTTTGCAAACACTTTAATGGGTCTACCAGGGGCCAATTATTCTCATTTCCTCATTTGCCTCCTAAAATCTCATCAATGAACACATCCTTCTTCTTAGTTGTGAGCTGCCCCAGGGAAAAGATGGCTCTAGGGTGTCCTCTGTGAGCACAAGATAAGTTGTGAGGAGCTCACAGGGAGTGTGGGGTCACCATACTACTCTTACCACGTGAGAGGTTAAAGCCAGTAGTAGGCTCTGGTCCCCAGGCTCAGTCAGTGCACACGAGGAGTCTGGCTTTGTCTTCATGGATCTTCCACTGAAGGCAAGTGTTATGAGTACCAGAGCAACAGCTCTACTACCATGTCATGTGCATGGCTGGAATTACATGGTTTGTTTAARAATATCTTGACTATTCTGAGGAGGAAATTCTCTGGTGTTGGATTACCATCAGGAGTCTGAAAGTTGTTAACTATTGATAGATCTTCTGGAGCGAAGACAAAGTCCAAGACATCCTACTCACAGTCTGACTTCCCAGGACCCAAAGAATTCTGGCAAGTTAGGAAAGAATATTTATTTGCAGTTTAGGAAGATTTGTCTGCTCCTTCAAGTTTAGTCTTGGTTTAGTCTTTCTCAACGTGTGGTTCAGAGACTACCTGTTTCCAAATCACCAGATTTTGATGGATCAAATTCTCTGCAATGCAGACCTGCAACCTGCACATACAAGTTCCTCAAGTGAACTTTGGGCAAGGCACTTTATTGTTTGATAATCATTTTTTTGGAATCATTGTTGCTTAAAGAAACTCCCTGGATGCTTGCCCTTCATATGTTCTCTCACTGTGCTATCACAGGGAGGAAATCAAGGAGTCGGGGGTAAATAAAGTCCCCTGCCTACTCCTCATGCATTGCTGGCTGCAGGCATTTGCCCTAACTCCTAGAAAGTTCACTCCCCCATCTATTCCCTTATGATAAGTTTTTCTTTAAGTTGTGTTTATTTATTTATTTGTGTGTGTGTGTGTGTGTGTGTGTGTGTGTGTGTGTGTATGGTGCTGGGGATTAAACCTGGGGCTTTATGCATGCAAGGCAAGCACTCTACCAATTGAGCTATATCCTCAGCTCCACCTTTAAGTTTTATTCCTACTTTCACTCACGGGTATGAAGTGCAGTCAACAGAAAACAGTGATTATTCCAGAATTCTTTGAAAAACTGTCAGAGACAATAATTTCTCCATAATCTCTTCCATAACTAATTCTATAGTTTGAAGAATTTTGAATTTAGTGTAGATTGGAGCAAGGAGATGAGGGAGGAAAGGGGAGGAGAGAAAGTAGATTTAAATCAAGTAATAAATCTGGAGACTCTGATCAGCTATCTGCTGTACTACCCAGCACACTACCCTAACCTTTCCTATCACTCCATCCCAGCACAGAGAGATACTTGCAGGATTGTTGCCTAAACTGAAACAGTCTATTGAGGAAAGAAGATGAGAATCTGGGTCTCTACTCTTAATGACAATCTGATTATTTTCTTAAAGTTCCTGTAAGTTATTTCTACCCTGAGAGCTCTGCCGTCCATTCCTCTGAAGTCCTGTAATTTACCTTGTTGCTGAGTTGGCCTTAGACACCAAATGGGGCCAATGTATTTGCATCCCAAATCTAGTACTGCCACATTCTACAATATTAGAATTTATATAAAGTATCAGCTGCCAGAATCTTCGCTCAATAAAACTCTTTCCCCTCCTGAATCCTCATAATTTCTTTCAAGGTGTGCTATTTACTTATTCTCCTCGGGGCCAGAARAGGTGGCTCAATTTTGTCCTTCTCTGTCTTTCCCAGTCATGCTTTCTGGTGTTCAAGTCTTTACAACTGAGGGTCCTCACAGAAGAGGATTTAACCCACTGCAGGACCCAGAGGTGATTCAGGACACAGTGGAAGAGGAGCCAATGGAGCAAGGGAGAGTATAATACTTAAGTGGTGCTTGTTCAGCTGTGTCCATTCTGAACAGAAAAGGCATTTTGACAGAGCTTTAGTCTCGGAGAGGGGCTGATCCTTCCCTGTGTCTCAATAGCCTCTGCATCCAGGGTAGTTATATTCCCTGGGAATGACTGGTGCCTTCATGAACAATGGGTGGTGATTTCCTCTTGGTTGATGCTCCCGAATTCACAATCTCAGCTTGTTCTTTACATCACTCTCATTCCTCCACATCCTCAGCCCTGTGAGCTGAGCCAGCGAGCCACCTTCAGCTCCTCTGAAATCCTTCTCAGTCTCTCTTTTTTTGTTAATATTTATTTATTTATTTATTTTAGTTTTCGGCGGACACAACATCTTTGTTGGTATGTGGTGCTGAGGATCGAACCTGGGCTGCACGCATGCCAGGCGAGCGCGCTACCGCTTGAGCCACATCCCCAGCCCCTCTCAGTCACTCTTGATTGGCACATGTTTCTTTGTCTATATTGTTTGGTGGTTGGTTACTTGCTAAATTTTGTTGCTGTTTTATCTCATTTATTATGTTTATTTATGTATTAGGTCTATCTCCCCAAAAAGAACAATGGTAGCTAATACTCTTTGGACTTTCTCAACATGCCCTTTGTTCAAGGGCTCATTGAATTTTTACAATATTTTGAGATAAGTACTGTTGATTCCTGTTTTACAGATGAGAAAATGCAAACTTGGGGAGGTTAATTTACATTTCCAAATTCACACAACTACTTAGCTAGTGATAAAGCCCCAGCTTTGAACCTTGACAGTTTGACACCAGAACCTTTGTTTACATAAAATACTCTATCTCTAGAATACAAACTTCCAGGGCTCAGGCACTCTTGAATTTCTGATAGGGAGAACACAGTGCTATGCATATAGAAAACTGAGAATATATATTTGGTGAGTGAATGTTTTATTATTCAGACATTTTTAATATCTCTGTGAGACCAAATTGTGTATATTCCTTTTATAGTTTTCTGTTGTTGCTCAAGTAATGCCTACTAATATAACCAAACAACCAATCCCATAGAGAAGACCCCATCTATGACAGAGTCCTATCTGCAAAGTCAGATTTCTTCAGAAAGACTAATCTCAAGAAGGTGGTCCTTCGGGCAGAACTAAACCCAGTAAGAGCCCCTGGGCGTTCAATCTCACTTACAGTAGTGCCCACACTTGTGGTGCTTCCTGGAGCACAATCCCACGCTCACTTCAGAGCACTRGAAAAACATGGAAGGGAGAAACCTGAGCCAAGGGACTGAGTTTGAGCTCTTGGGTCTCACCAGTGACCCCCAGCTCCAGAGGCTGCTCTTTGTGGTGTTCCTGGGGATCTACACCATCACTCTATTGGGGAACTTGGTCATGTTCCTCCTGATCCATGTGAGTGCCACCCTGCACACGCCCATGTACTCCCTCCTGAAGAGCCTTTCCTTTTTGGATTTCTGCTATTCCTCCACAGTTGTCCCCCAGACCCTGGTGAACTTTTTGGTCAAGAGAAGGGTGATCTCCTATCTGGGCTGCATGGCTCAGATGTTCTTCTATGCGGGTTTCGCCACCAGCGAGTGCTATCTCATTGCAGCCATGGCCTATGACCGCTATGCCGCTATTTGTAACCCCCTGCTCTACCCAACCATCATGTCTCCTGAGGTCTGTGCCTCTCTGATTGTGGGCTCCTACAGTGTCGGGTTTCTTAATTCTCTTATCCACACAAGCTGTATCTTCAGTCTGAAATTCTGTGGTGCTCACGTGGTCACTCACTTCTTCTGTGATGGACCACCCATCCTGTCCCTGTCCTGTGTGGACACTTCACTGTGTGAGATCCTGCTCTTCATTTTTGCAGGTTTCAACCTTTTGAGCTGCACTCTCACCATCTTGATCTCCTACATCTTAATCCTCATCACCATCCTGAGAATGAGCTCAGCCCAGGGCAGGTTCAAGGCATTTTCCACCTGTGCTTCCCACCTCACTGCCGTCTGCCTCTTCTTTGGCACAACACTTTTTATGTACCTGCGTCCCAGGTCCAGCTACTCGCTGACCCAGGACCGCACAGTTGCTGTGATCTACACGGTGGTGATCCCGATGCTGAACCCATTAATTTATTCTTTGAGGAACAAGGATGTAAAGGAGGCCTTAAGAAAGGTTTGGAGCAGGAAAACAATGGAATGATCTTCTCAACTCACTGTCACGTGTCTTCGGAAAGCAGAGGGAACTTACTGTATGTGGTGCTTCCTGGGCACAGTACCTGCCTCAGAAAGAATAGATGGTGTCTTAGACACTAAGTGGGAAGGGACTGTCTGTTTGTTGCACGACTAGACCCACTGGCAAAATGTAGTTATGCTTTTGTTCTGATGCTTCCTTTATATTTCAAGGTTTCTGAATATAGATCACAAATGAATATAGACATTTGTACTCTTCATAATAAAGTTATTCCTTAACTAACTGGAAGATATTGGCTCCTTGAGGAAAACTTTCTTATTCTTTACAATCTTCACCTCATAAAAAACTGCCTTGCCGGGCACTGTGGTACATGCCTGTAATCCCAGAGGCTTGGGAGGCTAGACAGGAGGATCCCAATTTCGAGGCCACCCTCATCAACTTAGCAAGGCCCAAAGCAATTTATGGAGACTCTGTCTCAAAATTAAAAATAAAAAGGGCTGGGGATGTGTCTCAGTGGTTAAGTGCCCCTGTGTTTAATCCTGGTACTAAAAAACAAAAACAGAACAACAACAAAAACCCTACTAGCTTTCATCAAATGCCTCTTAAAAAACTCTTGACAATCCATATGGACTTTATTTTTGTTTCTGTGGTGAATTGAAGACAGATTTCTTAATGTTAAACCTTTCTTGAATCTTTTTTTTTTTTTAAAGAGAGAGAGAGAATTTTTTAAAATATTTATTTATTTTTTAGTTCTCGGCGGACACAACATCTTTGTTGGTATGTGGTGCTGAGGGTCGAACCCGGGCTGCACGCATGCCAGGCGAGCGCGCTACCGCTTGAGCCACATCCCCAGCCCCCCTTTCTTGAATCTTGACATTCTTTTTTATTATGAAATAATTTCATTTTAATAGACTGTTAGATTTGATTTGTGTATTTAGACTCTTGGCCTCTGTATTCAAAGATAAAATTGATTGTTTTGTGTTATATTTATAATGTTTTAATATTAAAAGCAAGCTAGTTTTAGAAAAAAAAATTGGAGTTTTTTTTCTTCTTTTCCTATAGTGTGGAATTATTTATTTATTTATTTATTTTTGAACAGCCATATATGGAATTTTTATTTTTCATTACTGGTAATCGAACCCAGTGGCACTTTACCACTGAGACACATCCCCAACCCTTTTTTTAACCTGCTAAGGCTGGCCTGCTTGTGAATCTCCTGTCTCAGCCTCTGGAGTAACTGGACTTACAGGTGTGGGCCACCACACCCAACAGTATTATGTCATTTTTTTTTTTTTGGTGGGGCGGGTACCAGAGATTGAACCCAATGGTGCTTAACCACTGAGCCACATCCCCAACCCTTTTTAAAAAAATTATGTTTTAGTTGTAGTTGGACACAGTACCTTTATTTTATTTATTTCTTTTTATGTGGTGCTGAGGATGGAACCCAAGGCCTTGCACATGCTAGATGAGTGCTCTACCGCTGAGCCAAACCCCAGCCCCCTTTATATTTTTTATTTTTATTTTTTGGTACTAGGATTAAAGTCAGGGGTTCTCAACCACTGAGCTACATCCCCAGCTTTATTTTGTATTTTATTTAGAAAGGGTCCCGTTGAGTTGCTGAGTGTCTTGCTTTTGCTGAGACCAACTTTGAATTTTGCAGTCCTCCTGCCTCAGCCTCAGATTACAGTTATGGGCCACCATGTCTGGCTAGTAAATACAATTTAAAAAAATATATTTATTTATTTACTTTGTGGTGCTGAGGATTGAACCCAGGGCCTCACATGTGATAGGCAAGTGCTCTACCACTGAGCTACAACCCCAGCCCCAGGATATATCATTTTATTTTTATTTTAATAAAATTGGTGCTGGGGAGTGAACCCAGGGGTGCATAACCACTGAGTCACAACCTAGCCCTTTTTTAATTTTGAGACAGGGTCTCCTAACTTGCCTAGGACCCCCCTAAATTGCTGGGGCTGGCCCTGAACTTGTGATTCTCCTGTCTCAGCCTTGCAAGCTGCTAGGATTACAGGCATGCGCCACAGCACCCAGCATATATACCATTTTAGAAAAGCAAATCTTTCTTTCTTATTTCTTTCTTTTGTGGTACTGGGGCATTGAACCCATGGGGTGCTCTACAACTGAACTACATCCCCAGCCCTTTTTATTTTTTATTTTGAGACAGCTGTAAATATTCCTTTCCTATTTAAATTACTCCAGGCCAGGCATGGTGGCATGGACTGAAATCCCAGCCACTCAAAAAGCTGAATCAGGAAGATTACAAATTTGAGGGCAGCCTAGGCAATTTAGCAAGACTTTGTCTCAAAATTAGAAAGGGGTGGGATGTAACTCAGTGGTAAAGTGCCCCTGGATTCAATCCCTATACCAGAAAAAAAAATAAATACAAAAATAAAGATATATAGTCAATTGTAAAATAGTATCTGAGATTGATGCCTTTTTAAAAGGTAGATCTCTAATTACTTTTCCAGTATCTTATATGATTATTAGTTCTTATTTTAGTTCTTTCCCTCCTAATTAAATCAATTTGATTATGTGCATTTTGCTGTAGAATTGTTTCCTTTCTCTAGCTTTTCAAATTTATTGCCATGGAGTTGCACATAATGTTCTCTTAGACATTTTGTTCCTGCTTTCTAGGTCAATACCATCTATATTGGCTTCCCCAATTTCCTGCAGATCATTTACTACATTTTTTAGAACAATTTAAAAACTTTCTTCCATAAAAAGGAAAATACATTCAGTGGCTTGTAAGGGTCTTCTGGGCTCTAATACTCCATGAGATGACTGAAAACAGGCAGTGGTGAGGAAGGACTGACAGATACACCCAAGTACTAGACTCACTGAATTCCCACACCGCTGAGTCCTTACTGACTTTCTTGGAGAAGTTCTACCTCTCTGGCTATGATATTTTCATTGGGGAAATGGGAATAACAATAAAATTTACTTTATGTATGGAATTGTGAAAATTAAATAACATACTGTCTAAAACAGTGTGTGGTACATAGCAATTCTTTCAGAGATATTAACTCCTGTTATTTATTTTGTTTGTATATGTTATGAGATTGTATTATTCATTCTTCCTATTTTTGTTTGTTTTCCTTTCCTTGGTAACGCTGGACAGAGAGTTTCATTAATATTTTGCTTTCGAAATTTTTTTCCTCATTTCTGCAAACTATCAGTTTCTCATTTTATGAATTTTAAGTTTTTCTTTTTGATTCCTCTTTCCTCTTTTGGGGAGTTTATTTTGTTTTTCTTTTTGTCAGGTTAAAATGTTATCTATGTATATTTCTATATTGTCTTACAATGCTTCTAATATGTCTAAATTTCCTATCTATTAACTATCTGCCTATATTATAAAGATTAAGCAAAAATGAAAACATTCACAATCCAGAGACAATATTATCAATACACTGAGAGCCATTCTTGCTTTTATAGGGTGTTTATTCATGTCTTTTTCTTTTTGGTTTCTAGTTTAAAATAATATTTCGTATGCTGAAATTGAACTTTTCTTGATTAAGTGTGTGGCAGATATCTTCACCTGATCTGTCTTTTAAAAGTGTAATTGAGTCAGAGTTTTCCAGGAAAATAGAATCAATAGGATACATATAAATATATAAGAGAATATTTATTGTGGGAATTGGCTTGCATGATTATGAAGGTTTAAAGGTACTACAACATGCCATCACAAACTTGAGAACCAGAAAAGTCAATAGTATATGTTAGTCCAAGTCTAAAGGCCTGAGAATTAAGAAGGATGGTGGTTAAGTCCTGGAGTCCCCAAGGCCCAAGCAATAAGAGTTCTGATGTCAAGAAGATGGATATGCCAGCTCAAGAAAGAGAGAATGCACCCTTTCTCCACCTTTTTGAACTATTGCTGCCCTTGATGGATTGGATGCTTGCCTACATGAAGTAGGATCAGCCTACTGATTCAAATACTGAGCTTCCAGAAACATCCTCACAGACTCACTAGGAGCACCGTTTTACCTGCTGTCTGGGCATTTTGTAACTTACTCAAGTCAACACATGATATTAACCACCACAGTCATTTATTTTTACTGTTTCTGTGAGGTCTGGAGAGGTAGCTCAGTTCTAGAGCACTCTCCAGCACACAAGAGACTCTGGGTTTGATCTCTGGCACAGAGGGAAAAATTGTGCAAATTCTATGATGTCTTGGTTAGAAGAAGGTCTTAATTTTAATATCAGAATATTTTCCAATCATTTTATTCTCAGTGAATTTATTTATTTATTTATCTATTTATTCGTTCGTTTATTGAAGTACTGAGGATTGAATCCAGGGGTACTCTACTATTGAGCTACACCCCCAGTCCTTTTTATTTTTTATTTTGAGACAGGGTCTTACTGTTGCCAAGGCTGCCCTTGAATTAGCGATCCGACTCAGCCTCTGAAGTTGCTGGGATTATAGGTACACATGGTGCCCAGACCTACTGTGAGTTTTAAAATATGTGTCTTAAGAATCCTTCCCAGGGCTGGGGTTGTAGTTCAATGGCAGAGTGCTTACCTAGCAGGTGTGAAGAACTGGGTTTGATCCTCAGCACCACATATAAACAAACAAACAAATAAATGTCTTGTGTCCATCTACAACTAAAAAATATTTTTAAATAAAAGAATCCTTCTTAACCATAAGGTCATAAAAATATTCTCTTATGTTTTCTTCTAAATGTTTTCCAAAAGTTTTGCCTATACATTATTTTGTTACTAGGTTGGATTTAAATTTATCTTTTCTTATTTCAAAAGACATGCCCCTCAGGAGGCTGAGGCAAGAGGACTGATGGTTTAAAGCCGGCTTCAGCAGTTTAATAGGCCCTGAACAACTTATCGAGATCCTGTCTTTAAATAAAATATAAAAAGGACTGGGGATGTGGCTGAGTGATTCACCCATTTGTATTTCTCTGTACTGACTAGATTACAACAGGTTAAATATTCATTATCATGAAAGCTTTGGACTAGAATGTTTGGGATTGGGGATTTTTTTC